CGCATGACTGGAACAAGTAAATTTCATGGTGATTCTAGAAACTTTTTTAAAATGATATGCGCCAGGGAAAGCTACTCCTCAGTGAAACTTCACCAAGTTGAGTTCTAAAGCGACAAAACCCCATGATGTGATCTCGGTGAGAGCACATAGACGAGCAGACATGACCTGCTCGTCTAGAGAGTGCTCCGACACTGAGCTTGGGAGGGGCATTTTGCTTTTTCGCTGGCTCCTTTCGCTAGTTTACCTTAACTAACAGGTCCAGTTTTGTTGATGACCTGTGAGCTCCTTGAGTCCTGTGAGCTCCTGTAAGGCTACGGAGCGGTACAAGTGAGCCACTCTGGTTAGAAGATTCTACAGGTCCTTAGAATAAGGTGGCCTCTGCAGGCTACTCTTGAATACTGATCGTTGCCACCACCAAGCAGAACTGCGCCGTCCCTCCCAATGGTCATAGGGTCCACTTCTATGCTCACGAACTTCCGCTCCGCATCCGCATACCTCTCAATTCAACTACGTAGCAAAAATGTTTCATATACACGCGACGGCTTTTTTAGCCATGTGATTATTGATAAGACGGGAATAAACCGACACTTAAAAGTCAGCAACTGTGCAGGTGCACTTAGCGAATACGAATATGATAAGAGCGCGTGGACATCGAGCTGACCGTCCGAAACTCCTTACTAATCTCTCAAAGCGCTATTCGGCTTGGAGGGGGCATTTCGCACTATTGCTGATATATTTTCTTAACTTCTGTTAGCTAACAGGTCTCACATTGGTTGGACTGTAAACTCTTGTGAAGCTGAGAAATCATGCAAGTGTATCACTTTGGTTGCGGGAATTCACAGGTTCTCACAAGGTAGCCTGAACAAGCTTCGCTGTGTATCATTTGCTGCCCCCACCCAGCCGATCTGCGCCCACTTCAAATAGAGAAGTAATAGAAAAGATGAAAGGTCCAGTACAATATTGCTATCGGCCTTCGTTGGTTTTCGTTCCTTTATTGATTTGTTGATTGAAGTGCTATCACTAAAAAACTGTCCTTTTTCACTGACCCAACATTTTAGAATGAGAATTGAGTGAATAGGGATTTTTGGTGAAAAAAATAACAAGTATCTTAGATGCCTTGGATCGCTGGTGGCAAAGTATCCAGGTATTTCTATAACGCGTTCTTTGCTGTATGGAATGGAGGGATCAAAGACGATTTCGTGACTGTTGCAAACAAGTACAAGGACTATGAGCTATGGGTGAGTTTTCAATCAATAATTGATCGAACTGTCGATCGATAAGTGATTTCGCGGTCTTTTCACGAAGACCATCGGGAAGGGTGAAACGTCGCTTTTTCAGTGTCTCAAAACCTATCTACACCTTACTAAAAACACTCAACTTGTTTGGAGAACCCGTTTTCCAGAATTTCCTCCAGTTTTACCCAGAAAACAGGGGCAGAGCGAATGCAGCCCTCCACTTCCCCGCCACTAACTGCCATCCGGGGTAAGGAGTGAGGAATGGAGGGCATACATAGCGCACATTAGATAGGTGCTCCTCCCTCATCCAATGACTTAATACGAACCTCCTCCTGGGGATCCCCAACGAACGACATCCCCTATTATGATTGTCTTGACCGTCCCCGCGACGAGTGTTATAAAGGCGAGTCACTACCGCCAGCGCGCGCTTTGATCTAGTCTGGCACTTCAAAACACCTAGAAAATTCTGAATATTCCTTTTTCCAGGCTGTGGGTCACTCCCTAGGTGGATCGATGGCATCACTGGCTTCATCATATGTGGTAAAAACGAAGCTTTTCGATGGAAACAGGATCAAATTGGTGACTTTTGGCCAGCCAAGGACGGGCAACAAAGACTATGCAGATGCGCATGATGCTCAGGTACTCATACGTATTTTACAATTCTTGTTCGCCGAAAATGCTCGGGCGCTTCAGAGAGGGCCGATCTGGCGCGGCGTTAACCTGTTTTCCACCAATTCCGGAAGCTGCCAGGCGACCCCAATTGGTGAAGAATGTGTTGGCGAAGCGCCAAACCGACCCCTTTAGAACGTCCCAGTTTCCGCGGCAAACAGGACTGTGAACGCGCCTTCACAAAAGAACTTCGCACTTCTAATTCATTTATAGGTTCCATATTCCTTCCGTGTCACTCATGCCCACGACACTATCCCACACAATCCACCAAAAGGATTCCACAACTACACACATCACAAATCAGAGGTTTGTTACCCTCGTACCATCTCGTAGTTAGCTTACTTAAAGGGTCATCTCGCGACTACCTAGGGGTAGAATTTGTTAACTGACGAGGTGCATGACGCAGTGACACATGTGTGCAATTTTCGCCAAACGAAAAAGCCTGTGAGGGCGCCACCGACATGCCATTTCTATAAGACTCCACCCACTCACTTTAGTCGCCACTCCTTTTGCAACCGCTGTGTGTTGATGCATAGTTCTCCTCATTCTTGTCTGGTTTCTCTTTCGTGTGCCCAATATTTCTTTGCTTCGCTCGCCTATCAGGAATGAAATACAAAAGTGGGGCGCATTTAAGGCAATATTGGCGGTTTCCTTTGCATTTTTCTTCGCTTTGCATTAGCAGTTTCATTCCCTTAAGTGCAAATGCAATCGTGGAAGGTGCTTACAATGTCACATTGCGCGATTATCTGATGAGTAGAATCCGTTCCTTTCACAAGGTAACCCGATAGGCAATCGTAATGGCGAGCCCGCTCTTACGGTTAGAAAGTGAGGGACAAGGACCCTGAAACCGTCATTCCCCTTAGTAGCCCCGCCCACCATTTGCCAACCACACCCAAGGATGAACGATAATCTGTTCACGTCCGTATGGGTCAGTTCGCTGTGCGGTCAACGTCTGATTCGTCTTTTCTCTCTCATCCTTTCTCTCTGCTCTCCCTTTCGCACTCTTAATAACTTCACCTCCCATTTTTTCGCACTCTCTTCCGATGCTCGAGAAGGGGCTCAATCTAGGCCTTTTCGAAGGTTTAGTTTGTTTTCGCTTCACTCGTAAAACAAGTGCCTGTTACTGATTCCTGCAACCCTCCCCACTCCCTCCAGTAAATCCTCCAGTTAGAGCTCAAATAAAAAAAAGGTTGACAGTAGATGATTCGCCTGCTGGGGGAACTACATCCACGGGGATTGACTGCTTGTTTTTTCGAGAAAGCGAACGAATGGCATTCCCTGCGACGAACACATGAAATCTTCCTACGACGTTGCAGGCAACACGCGCGGTAATTAGCTGCGCAATTTGCTGTCTTGTACGCCGAAAATATCAGCGTGGTAAGAAAACACAATTCCGTGGCCGCTTCATCTAGCACCTTCGCGTGGCAAAGCTGTTCACTTTTGCGAGTGCGGACCTGGCCACCAAATGCACGGGGCATGTCATAGGTTACTCAATCGCGGGAAGTATTCTTGAAAAATAGTGGCGCTGTACCAATGAGCCACCGCTACGTTTTTGACTAACTCACACATTTTAGGTGTTCTACAACAATGACATGACCACAGCTGATTACATCGAATGTGACGAGCAAGAGAGCAAATCTTGTAGCGATCAGAACATCAATTTGTCATTCTACGATCACCATCGTTACTACAATGTCTACATTTACAATTGGGGAGCTGTTGGTTGCATCGGCGATCCAGCAAATCCACCTACTTTTGCACCCAAACAATGCTAATGTATTTATTACTGTTACTTGTACACAGTTGTGAACTTAAAGACACATTCTGCGCTGACTGCAGGGCTAAGTTAATTGAAAATGCGCCTTCCTCCTTGGTGCGCCCTTCTCTTTGCCATCTCACAAGTAGTCTGAAAGAGAAGTGGTGACTGACTCCGCCCACACGATCAGTGCAGAATATGCCTTCACAAACAGAATCTCATGAGTCTCCTTGTAGTAATTCAATTACTCTGAGACATTTATTTTCAAGCTATTTAGTGCCTCATAGAAAGGTGGATGTATGACTACAAATGTAGAGATAATTCTAATTTCCGCTTTGTCCAAAGATGTTCAATCAATCACCTCTATAACTCCGAAGACGAGTGCATGGCGTAATCTTGATTTGTTAATTTTCTTGTCCAATTGCTATTGGGAAATGTCTGACTTATGGTCAAGCATTATATATGTTTGGTTTTGGGAATAACAATCTTACGAATATCACATATCCTAATAAAACTGTATACTTTGCAGCCTATAACAGCTTGATGTCAAGAACATAGTGAAAGGCATTTTTCACAACAAGTTTCGCGAAAAAGCAAAACAAAAAACGTCGTGAGGATCCGAACCTGTGACTAAATTTCTGACAGTCCACCCACATGGCACTGCACCATTTGGTGAGATCAGCACAAGCTCTTCGAAGGCAACAAGCTTCGCGGTGTTTCCAGAAAGTCTTTACAACACTCTTCAAAAAATAGCTATTCAAGTGGGAAAACAGATTTCGGACCAACATTCGAAGGCGCATATAGCGGTATACGTCCCGCTGCGAACGGACACAAAAAATTCACCTCTAAAAATGTACACATCATGGGAACCTATTTATTCTTCATCATCTTCCCCGTATACAAGTATTATTGCGTAATGGAAACGACAACAAACAAACAAACGCGCACAATGGCATCCATTCAACATAAAGGAGACGATATCTGAATGAAAGACAACAAAAAACATAACAATCCAACTGGAGTAGTACAGACTCGTCGTTGCGTGTCTATGTGCAGGAATATTTATCGGGGGGGGGGGGGAAGCAAAGCGAATTAAAATCTAGAAAGGGAACTAAAATCTCAATATATATAATCGTTTACAAAGGAATCGTAAGAAATGACGACGGGAGTAACCACGCCCACTATGTGGCAAATCCCGCCTACTAAACTGAGCGCAGCACAGTTGAAAACATGGGTATTTTATTTCTGTTCAATTAAAAGCGCACACACGTGTTTCCAATGAGCTGAGATATTCCCAAAGCAGAAAAGCACAGTTACTCTGCCTGTCTACGCACTCTCTGCCTCTACTCCTAATCCAAAAAAGGTGCATATTGATAAATAATTTATGTGACTAGAAAATTGAGATCTTTGCTGAGATCGAGAAAAGTGAAGGCAAGATTCGTGGAAATGTTAGCGAAGCATGCATCGATTCTGCTCAAAAAATAAATGTGGGTTTAGACTCTCGCTGGTGAGTGGGGCTCTTTCGATGGGAGCCCCACCCCCGGGGGAGGCTCCGCCCACAAAGGGAGTTCACCTCAAAATGATACAACGTGAGTAGTGTACATGAAAACTGCGCACATTTTCCCTACAGAAGTATTTCTGAAGGGCATATAAGGGGGTACTGCGCAGAAAGCAGTATAATTACCGTGCCGATCAAGGTTAGGGTCAATAATTCGAGATGAGCTTGTGGGGATGCATTAGACGACTTGGCTTTATTCCACTGAACATTCTTGGTCGCTCAATCGATCGTCGCCGACCTTTCGTCGTTCCATTCCCTTTGGACGTTCGCGAATCAGCTGACTGCGCACGTTCTAAAAATTTAGGAAATCATTTAAAAGATGAAATAACGGAGTGGTACCGTTTAACCACTACTAGTAAAGGTTATTTCGAAGGCCTCGAAACAGGGACACTCAAATATAAAAAAATTCCTTGACTAAATACGAACTCCCACGAACATCTGGCCTCGAGAAAAATTTTTTCCCGAATGTTGACTTCTCGCAGTTTTCTCATTTCTGCACCTTCGCTCCCCCCCCCCTTCCCTTGAAGCAGTTTCTGAAGAACTGCTAGAAAATTTCGGGAAAATGGAAGACATGAGGGAGAGACTGTCGTATTTAACAGTCAATCCCCCCCCACCCCTGACAGGAAAGGCCTTGGTCCTGATTACAGTGTACCGGAAACAACGAGATTGTAACCTTAGTCTTGAAGGCTTGTGGGGCCCGCTAAACGATAGCCAGAAAGTTTTCACAGCGAGTCTCGATGAATAGTATCGGTTGATCGGTAAAATGGTGCGAGTACACTGTAGGTGGGTGCCAGTGTAGCCAAACATCGTGGGCCACACCTCTGAGATAAGAGCGCCTCCGCAGCGTAGCTGCAGCGCAGAAGTTGAGCTCTGATCGTCTAATTGTAAGCATCTTAGCACTGCTATGCCTCCTAAGGTTCCCCTGTGGAACAGCTCGTTCAGTGGGTCGTTCCCAACTTTTTGAAGTAATCTTCCTGCTGGAGAGGCGTGAAACTTCAAGAGATAAACGCTCCAGAGCTTGGTGTACTCTAGCAGTTCTACTGGCGTGGCAACCCCACTCCCATCTTGAATGAGTCACATACAGCCTCAATCGCTGCGGATGCTGGGGCGTGTCAGAGGGAGTGGCTATGTTTTGCGAGGCGCCTGCACCTTCTCACCGAGCGTTGCTGCTTTCACCTCAACAAGTGGAGGAGAACGGTTGGGCGCCACGCCAAACACAGCCCCTCCCCCCCTCCAGCTCCCATCCCGATACACCCCAGCGTCAACAGTGAGTAAGACTATACAACAACACAACATCTTACTCTAGCGTCTCAAGCACAATCTTCACTCTAGTGATATCGCTGTACGCAAATGCGCAGTATACATATACCTTATACACTTTGAATTCACCAATTTTCTAACCAATTCACCAATTTTCGAACCAAATTCACCCTTTTCCAAACCAATTCCCCTTTTCAACAAATTCTCCCCTTTCAACCAAGTCCACACACACTTTCCGGAAAATATCACCAACACATTATCCGCACAAAACACCAACCAGATCACGCCAGACACTACTGCGAGCCCTGCCCCGACGGCTACGTCTACTTGTCAGCGCGGACATAGATTTTCAAACCATGTTTTTTATAACTTCTATTTATGGATTTTCTTATCTTGTGCTGTTTCCCCACGAAACACTTTGACTCTGAAAAACGATATGGCATTCGCGACATGGCCGACTCGACCAATCTTTAAGAGGTTTGGCATCTAGTTGCTCCGCCCCTTACAACCCCGCTTTCTTTTGGCGGATTTTGACATTTTCCAAAATTTTTGCCAACTTTGCAAGCTGCTCCGTGAGGCCCCGCCCACTGTACGAGGCTCAGCCCAGCTGTGAAGAACCGCCGCCCATCTCTCAAGTGGTGCAGATGGTAAGTACTAGAGTCTCGGCCGGCAGATTACATAGGGTTAATTCCGAATAATTAAGCTATATAGGCGGCTATTGCCATAAGTTATCGGAAACAAACTTTGCCTGCTTTTCTTGTTTCGAGTGACGAACGAGAGCACTGAGCAGAGAAGCGCAAAGATACTACCCTTGCGAGGGTAGCATTTTTGGCGAAGTGGACGGGCACAAAAACTACCTCGAGTGGCGGAGCTTCAGCAGCAGTGCGTGGGCTCACGAGCAGCGTTCCAAAAATGCAAAAATTGTTAAAAATAATATCACAATTCCGCATGCGAAAGCAAGTGGCGTGATCAAGGGGGTGGAGCCTAGATTGCCAAACCCTTCAGAGAATGGGCGAAGTTGGCCATGTGTCAATGCCCAGTACTTTTAAGTCAAAGTGTTTGTGGAAACAGGCAAACGATGAGAAAAAGCTAAATAAACAGAAGTTATGCGAGAAGATTTTGAAAATTTGTGTCCGCGCTTGGACAAAGGTAAGCGTGGCCGGCGGGGTTACGTAGTGTATTATGCGTATGATGAACTTGTGGGCTAAATAAGTGTGCTGAAATTCGTTCGAGAAGTGGCGCGTTGAATTTTGGTTTGTAAGGGATGCACAATGCTTGAAAATGGTGAGTTTCAAGCGTGAAAATGGTACAAACGCTGTTCCAGACTTTTGTTCCAACATTCACAGTCGCTGCAAAATCCGAAAGTAGTACCTCTAAGAGTGCTGCTGCAACTGTGCAGACTGCATTCTTTTCAACACTCTGGCTCTGGCCATACTCTCGCCGCTGTGTCGTAGTCAGTATCGCTACATTCAGCCTGTGCAATAGGCGCTGCACCTCTCACGTTATTGCCGTTACGCATCGGGGTCGACGGCTTCGACACAGGTGCCGCTGCAGACGTCGTTTGTGGTCTTCGTATCTAAATTTGGCGTATGAATGAAACTGAGAGTTACTTTCTGTGTCTAGGTTAAGATAGGAGGCTGCAGTACTCAACGCTGCGTCGTAAAACAAGGAAATGGTCGCCTGGACGTATTTTCATAACTTTATTGTGTTACACCCTACAAGGGTATTTATTTATTTTATTTATTTAAATACACAAAGTGCGCCGCATAGCTACAAAAAAAACAAAACTCATTGCTAAGGAACAATTCAGTTAGGAAGAAGGAAAGAAAACAAATAAATCTAGAATATAAAAGAATAAAGATAACAGAGTGACCGAAATTCGGGTAGCGTGACGTGGTAGTGGGAATGAGATATGAAACTTTCATTGTGCCAGGTGGATAACGTTGTTTTCCCCATCCAGCAGATGAAAAAGTCCCCTCACGAGATCCTGTCCTTGGTTCTGAACCAAAAATACAAGTACAGCACTCTACTGGGGCTTGCTGAGACTTAACCCTTACAAACAATTCGTCCGAGACCCATCAGAGGCGAACGAATAAGGCGGCTTCAAGGCGAGAGGTTCATAACCCTTAAGCTCATCAAACAACTTACGCAGCAAACTCAGCAGATCGTCACTGGAAGTTACGTTCAAATTATCAAACAACATCTCTTAGCATATACTTGCACTGCACAGTCAAATATTCTTTCACTAGAGGCTGTAGTCAGAGAAGTAGGATTAACTAGGAAGAATGAGACCAAGAATAAATTCATCTCTCTAGAAAATACAGAAGATGTGGTAATTATCAAGATAGTGGACAATCGGATCGAACTTGCTAATGCTACGCCGTATTTTGGAGAGGGATCAGTCGCTTGAGGGAGACGTCATTTGGGCTTTCGGAAAGGCGGGGGGGGGGTGGTTTATAGCGCACTAGGCAACAGTAAAACGAAAAAGCCAGCAAATAGAAATCTTTTTCGAAGGAACTACCAACAATCTCCTCTGCGACCAATACGACCCCCGTAGGATTCTTCAAAGGCATGATGGGTGTAGCCTAAAGACTCGAGTGACTAAACCTAGCGCAAGGATTACGGTACTGCGAGCATTCATTCAGCCGACGCATTCAATTTTAGCCCAGTTTTGGTATGCTGCATACCCACTTAGTACTACTGTCACCGCCGGACTCACCAGCTTGATTTTGTCGTGCTGTATCCGTCGGATGTGCGTCTTCTTCTGATTCATCATGTCATACAACTTGTTCCGATAGTCATCAATCGATAATTGGATGTGATCAGGTAGAGGCAAATTCACCTGAATTAAAAATGTGGATTTTCTCGCCTTTGACTACCCCTAATAAGAACATCTATTTTAATTAGGATTTTTTTGGCGTGATGATGTACTGGAACTGACTTTCATAGTTGGAATGGGAAGGGGCACTTGGCTGCGCACCCGTGTTTCTCCCCTGAAGCAGCTTCCACACTTCACGATGACGAGCGTCGACGCGCGACGATGCGCTGTAACGCTTAACGTGTATCGATCAGCGCCGGCCGCCGCTGCATTGAGAGAGCGCGAGCACACAAGAGACTGGAGCCGATCGATACCCGTCTGCAGTGCGTTAGCGTCTACAATTGGAGCGCGAGAGTAGTAATAGCGCGTTGACGCGCGTTATCGCGAAGTCTGAACGCTACTACCCAAGGCTTGGGCTCAAAGCGCAGACGACCAGAGTCGCCGAAGAATAGTCTTGCAGGGTGGGCACAGTCCTTACTGTGCCAAAGCCTCGGCCAGGGAAGGGACACAGAGGCGCTGACCAGCGTCCCAGCCGCCCCTACGCGCCTTCGCGCACGATGTTCATTAGAATCCGATACGTGTACACAAAGCGAAGGCCGTGCTGCGGCTATCATGACCGCAACGCCTACGCTTGCCTGTTTGCAAAGTCGAGAACAACACGCACATTCTTGAGTACTAGAGCGATTACACCAAAAAACGTGGGCAAAGGTAGTTCGAGGGGCGCACAACAGGAGTGAGCCACGTTCTTTTCTGCTCGTCTGCGTCCTCTAGACTAAGCAGTGTTCGTCAAGCAGATTCCATATCTGCGCAGCCTTGGAGAGCGCAGATAAGCTGAACAGTGTAGTTTAGCCCACTCCTCCCTCGCCCCATAGCTTTGCCCCAGGTACGCCACCCCCCCCCCTCTCGAGCAAAACCGACTATCAACTCTGAGTTATAAATATGATAACTTGACAATATCGTAACGAACTTACATCGTAGGGTAGCATCGGCTCGTCAGCTGGATTATGGAACTGCACCACATATGGATGAACCAAGCACTGCTCGACAGTCAGTCGCCGATGAGGCGCAAAAATCAATAGCCTGACAAAAATCAATACCAACAATATAAAATCAACAATGAGAATGTTGCAGAAGATTCAGCACTTACCTATGAATGAGATCGAGAGCATGTGGATTATTGGTGCTGATCATGGTTTCGAGACTTTTTCGAGGCCTTTGTGGCATCTTTTCAAGCACCGATAATGCGTAGTGACTGCCTGGAATAAAGCACTGATTTTTAGGACTTTTATGGGAAGCAATCGTGCATCCTCATGCCAAGGGAGTTGCGGAGGACGGAGGAAGGGAAATTCAGGGGCGGTGGGTAAGACCAGTCTCATTATCTCCTCAGTGCTCTCAGCACTGTCGGCTTATCTCCGGAACCTGCCTCGAAGAGAGGACGCAGACGAGCAGAAATGGGTAAGGATTGGTCCCACTGCCTGCTCTACGCCACAACTACCCTAGTATCTGCGGCTATTGGACTGGAATGAAAAGGCGAACGGAAAAGTGATGAATATGACCATGAAATGAGGTCATCATAAAAGGGCCGTATAAACATTGTAGACCAAACTTCACGTCTGCAGTGTATACAGTGTCCAGATATTGCATCAAACTGGCGCCATGGTTCAAAAATCGAAGCTTTATGATCTTAGGCAACGTTCAGTATCTCGCAGCACAGGCGCTTGGCCGTCGTGCCGTTCGATCTGCGAATCGATGCGATGTTCGAAAGCATTGCAATTCGATTCGCAGGTCCAAAGGCGCGACCGAACTCTACAATTCGCGAAATCTGGCGCTAGTCGTAGGTGGATTCCTATTATCATACATTTTGCGAAATAATCCCGAATGCGATGTACCTCCGACTCACTGGGAAAAAAAAGCTCAGGTACTACGTCAATATCCACTACCACCTCCTACTCCCCCTCACTCCTAAACTTTCTTGGTGACAATAAGATTTGCTAAAGCACATTTTATGTAATTGTGTTGAAAATGTATCTCGTTTCAGACTACCACCGACCAATAACTAAAGAAAACGTTAGTCAAGTAACGTTAAAAGGAAAAATCAGGTGGGATACATAACAAAAAACTGTAGCGTAAAATTTAACGCGTGCATTGCAGAACCGGTTCTACGCTAAGCAGCTACTAGCTGTGCACGCTCGAGGAACTGTTCGCTGTCTGTTTGTCTGGAGTAATTTTGCAAAGGAAGACACAATACTGTTAGGCGCTGGCTGTCATTGTTTGTCTGCAGATCACGGACAAAACACGCGAATCAACAACTCATCGTAGAGGGGCTCATAGAAAGCCATCATTTTTCCTTCTGGAGCTGCATCCCTTTTTATACACGCTTGGCCTCCCCCCCTCCAAACAATGGTAATCCGCCATTAATCTCAAGGACTAACCTATTTGCTCGTCTGGGTGCTTCTTGCTGAGACAGTTTCATTATCACCATTTATATCACCACTTATCACTTTGATCACAGTCAATCATTAATACTCACCGCCATTGTCAACGTCTTTCAGGTCCCCTATAACCAGTCTTAACAACGTTTTCTGTGTGGGATTACTCTCTGAGACTCTGTCCGTCTTCTAAATAGTTTTTGAACACGTTCGGAGATACGGAGCAGAGCATCTGTAAAGTTCACATAGCATGGCATCGCTCGTTCAGGTAACGTCTATTATGGAAAAATAATGCAAAAAAACCGGTCATGTTTTTGGCGTGCGCTTCCCAATCCGGGAAGCTGGATGCTTGTGCAGGAAAGAATTGTTTCAGGATTCACAAGGGGCGGATCCATTCAACAGTATCACAACTACGGCTCTATGTCGTCGTGCGTCCGCTTATGCGTCTTACACTTCAAGTAACCCTGTTTAATTGCGCTCCAAGAATATTCGCAACTTTGCTTCAAAAATGCCGGTCGGGTGGGATCTACGACGCAATTTGAAATTTAATCCCTCTTACTTCTCGTCACGATCAACTTTCTGTTTTTGCTCTTGCGCTCTCAAGCCTGCATGATTCGTATCCCATTGTGCCTTCACATTTCCGGAGCAGTTCGTTAGGGAGGGGGTGGGGGAGAGGGGGAGAAGGAGTAGCATCTTGCTTATTGTCGTAAATCCCATCAAAGCAGCTGCGCCAATATCTGCGCATTTTCAATGTTACGATAGGAAGCTCATTTCGTCCAAGGGGCACACTTCCATTTCCGAAAAATCCGTCCTCTTGTCTAGGCTTGAGGCATTTTTTTGATAGCCAATTTGTACATATTCTCTTCGCAGCTTTCAGTCTCTACTTCCCAGTGCTTGGCCTTATTCGAGCGCACGACCTTCACACGGAATTCTAGTTGTCACGAATTCATGCCGCTCGTTCGTGGTTAATTCTCTATCTCCCAACTCGACCTAATTTAAGAACTTCTTAAGCGGCACGAAAAGTGTGAGTGGCATTCGCACCAGACGCTCAACAAGAGTTAGTTAGCAAATGCCGCACGCGCCTATTTTTTAGGCATCATCGCAACTCGGACCTCTTGGCCCACATCCCTACTTTACGCATCTCGTGTTTTCAGACTTTCCCTTAGGATTACAGCCAACTAACTTTACCGTCTCAAATTTCTTTCAACTCACCAATGCTTTCGATATCGGCACGACTCGGTCGACTGATGGCATTCATAATCCGTTCTATCTTGTTTGATGGTGGATCGTATACCAGAAGAAGAGCTCACTGAAGCAAGCCAGTGAAGCCTAGGAAGTTCAGAAAAAAAAATCGGCGAAAAAATCTGTTGAAAAGATATTCCACGATTAGCGGGTGGCGGGAACTCACAACCATCCCTCAGTGATGCACCCCTGCTTCTTAGAACAACACATAAGGGTAAGATGGGACACAATTGGCAAAGCAATGGTTGCGAGTCCCCGCCACACAATTACCACGGAGCGTTCCTTTAAGGAAAGCTGAAGTACAAAACATCAAAACAAACCAGCTACATAAAAATCAGTACCTAATAACATCTCGGCTAGAATACATCCAAGGCTCCACATATCGACACCTTTTGTGTATCGTTTTGCGGCCAGCAAAATCTCCGGGCTACGATACCATCTAGTGGCCACATATTCGGTCAACTCGGGCATGTTCTGGCCTTCTGGATAATCTTCCAGCTGAAAACAGAAAAAGGCATTCAAAAATTCTCACTCGAGCTGTAGCACAAACAGAACCCTGTAGCAGTCTATATTATTAGAAACTCCACCCCTGTGAGGCGGGCCCCGCCCCCTTGTAGTACAACCGCAGACATAAATTGAGCTACTCCATCAAGTAACGAAGAGGAAAACATGAAAAAAGGAAGAAAAGAAGGAAAATAAAATTGGCTGCATTTAGAAGACCTGTTAGTTAACCTGCATTAGCAACAGGAGCTGGCAAACGTGCAAAGTGCCCCCACTATGCCGAACAGCACCTACATGTGCAATTATATAAGCTAGTAATAAAATTAGCCACTGAACAGAAAAAGTAGCTGATTGATCACAGCAGAGACATCATAATAAATCTAATAATAACCGAGAACTTATTATAAAAATTGCCAATAATGATAACCAATAGTGGTATTGATAACAATAGGAATAATAACAATGATAATATTAGGTTGATCAAAAAGTTTTGATAGGGTTGAGATTTTTTCTGTTTTATTTTACAACTCAGCAAACAATGCAAGCTAATCAACAATATAATAACCATCGTTAGTCATAACATTGTCCCACCTAACGGGCAGGTCAGCGATTCCCTTCTCCCAGAACTGGGGAGATTGGGAGTCAAAGAAGTCACCGACCACTTGTTCAAGGTGGTCATAGTTGACGAATCGTTTTTTTGCTAGGAAAGCCTTGAGGGGCCGGAACAAGTGGTAATCTGAGGGGGCAATATCAGGTGAATAGGGTGGATGTGGGAATAGTGTTGATAGGTGATTGTGGAAACGTGTCCCTCAAGGCCCTAGCTGCTCCACTTTGCACGGGTCTCTACACCTAATGGAGGTCTACGGTTGTTATGGAGGAGGTCACAAAAGTTTGGTCTAGCCGTCTTTTCCGGAACGGCTTCCGCAAGTTTCTGCAGTGACGCAGCCTCATAAGGGCCGGTGACGGTGTACCTTGCCAAAAGCACACAAGGGAGCAACTTCTTGGGCGTGAAGGTTCGGAGTTTGATTGCGATCGGCGGCCTTGTTCTCTCGCCTGGAGCCAGGCGGCGCGGTGCTTGTTAGCGTCGTAGAGGATCCAGCTTTCATCTCCAGTAACTAGGTCCTCCAGAAACTCCTTGCGATGGGCGGAGAAGGAGAAGACTGAAAAGTTTGGATACCCGGGTGTACCGCATGCTATCGCTCAAGGCATAAGGTATCCATCGAGTCAGCACTTTTCTGTAACCGAGGGCCTGAAGGCGACCGACGATTGTTGATTGGGCACACCCAAGTCTCGTCGCATGACTGCGGGTGTTAACTTCCGGATCCTCTTTGACGGCGTCGTGAATGACGGAATCGTCGACGGCGAGGGGCGTGCCCGAATCAGGTTTGTTCTCAAGATCGTGTCTCCTTCCTTGCAGCGAGCGAACCAGCCGAATGGAGTGATACACTCCCCATACCTGCTGATGTTGCGAACGGTTTTGCCAGTGGCTCGGTTGACCGCGGTGCACTTCGTAGAAGAATGGTGTTATCGAAGCATGGTCTCTGTGAAATTGACATGCGTGATTTAAGTATAGGGGAACCTAATAAAGTATATCCTATTACGGGGACGTTTCTAGAATGTTTCTAACACTACATACTCTCGTAGATCACTTGGTATTCGATCAAGAAATCGAAAGCTTGGACTTTGAAAAAAACCGCTAATCACAAACTTTTTGATCAACCTAAACCAATAAGAATAGCATAACGAGAAGTTGGGGAAATAATAATAAGATAGAAAATAAGACTTAACTGATGATTGTTCATTAATGAGCGGTGATAAGAAGTGATAAATGATGATAAACGCTGAAAGTAAGGCTCCAAAAACTTACCGACGAAAGCGACCGAGCAAGTCCGAAGTCGGCGAGTTTCACACGACAGTCCGCATCCAACAGCACATTTGATGGCTTCAAGTCCCTGAAAATATTCGTGCTACGTGGACATGACAACCTGTGGGAGGTATACGATATTTATGGGAAGTACGGTAGCTGGCGTACGCGACACGTAGGATCTGACGTGTAATTAGAGATGGTTTTCTTAGCAGTAATTAATGGCAACTGGTTTCTAAACTGATTTCTGGCCCTTGGCAGTGACAGGAGCACGTCAAATCACCCTAGTTCGAGCAAGTTACCCCTGGTTTCCCCGAAAAACAGCCAAGGCTAACTGGCGCAAATCTTCTCGATCATTAGCAGGACCAATTTTCAATGATTTAGAATTTCGTCCAGCAGGCCCCTCTTGCTCTTTTGAATACGTAACTTGGAGCTGTGTCCACATTGGGGCAGTTTTTTATATATGATGTCATTCTGAAGGAATTTCCTGGGTTATTAGGATTCGATTCGCCGAATTTCAGGGCTGAGAAAAAAAAACACATAATAGCTTCCGCCGTCGTCGTTGAAGCGGCGGTAACAGACTTGTGAACGACGAAAGGTGACAGACACTCCCGAATGCGTATTGGTCCCATTAGAAACGGCAAAAATACGCTGTAGCTCAAGAACGAGGGCATCTGGTAGCGGCTACCGATCAATCCCTATGATTTTGATGACGAGCTCCAATATAATTTTTGCTTTTTGACCGCTTCAAAAGCGCCTCTGCAGTGGCTCAATTCATGACGCATTTCAGTCGATTGGAAGTGCCGTAACTGCCCAGTACCCCCGCCCCACTCAGAGCTGAACTGCGCCCCTTTCAGTAGACGTCCTTCCTTAGCTGGCAGTCGGTCCAATCCCTTCTCGATCTTTCTCAGAAGAGCCGAATTCGATTAGTCTTGATGGAATTGACCTTGGAACGATTGAGGTGCTTAACACTGGGATTCCCTCTAGAACATCTTCATCGTTGAATAAAAACCTTCCGGACATACCATTCTGTAAGCTTCTCAGAATGAGATTGG